CATGTGATACCACATACACCAGGTCATTTGAAATGAACACAGTTAAAACACCAAGATACCAATTGTTGTTTGGATATTCATAACAGTCTGCATAACAATGTTGACATAACATCTCGCTCGTCGGCGAATGCTATTAATATGTTCAACCTTAAAGTATCGCAAAGCCCATCCAAAAAAAAATACTATATACATTAGGATTGCAATAACACGGCACCTACCGCCATCATGTTTTCAGTTTCGGATCCAGTGTCACCCAAAGACCTTATGGTGTCGACTCAGATCCTTCGACACTGTAACTTTAACGTACGTTCTGATACGGATATTCCGTGTACATTATGTTCTTATCGGGGCGCACACACGTATATAACGGAATGTATACACCGGTAGTGTCACTACTCAGTACCAGCACTATTATATAAACTCACTGAAACTACATGAACTATATTTATCGCCCTCGTGAATATATTATATTCTAATTATAATATTTTATTTTCGGCCAACCACGGAAGGGTTCGCATTTCGCTAGGCGAACACGGCAAAACTTGGAGAATGCAACGCACGAGTGTCTCTACGTCTCCCCGGAACCCCGAATTTTGATGTATACTGTTCTGTATCAAGAACAATATGTCGTTTGCGTACTAGCATACACGAAGGCTAATGCTCCCATGAAAATGTCGATTTAATCCCCACCAAATCCTTAATCCACGCTAATACTAAATAACACAGTATTACTGTTATTAATAGTCATATTCAAAATGTCAATGTGTTGCAGAATGTAATCACGTGGTACGTAATAAACATTCTATGTTAATGAATTAAGCGAACCAGTACAATTAAACACAAATTGATATACTGCTGGAAACTAAAAAAGTGCACGTTTATTTGCCTACCATTACGTGTTTGACTCAACCTGGAGTGAGAGCAAACTAATTGGCATACCATCATGAATACCCAGAGTTCCCGGCTTTGCCCATGAAAATTCTACTCATGTGGTCTAAATTTCAGGGAAACAAGACGCTTTTTATTAATTATCAATATGTACATTTCAATATATCTTTTTGTCTATCGTTTTACAACGATGACCAAACAATTATGTAAATGTCCCATAGATTAACAACACAAATTAATGTGAGTAATTGGCATTAACTAATAAACAATAAAACACGATGTAAACACTATAAAATACATCTACAAAAAGTGTATCTGTCTTGTATCAATTTCAATACGATTTTGTAAGTACATCGTCTCCGCTGATATTTGCATTATTCATTAAAAATACATATTTGTCATTCATCGAAAAGGTCGTGGAATTATGCAGACTTCATTGTTGTTTTTTTATCATTTGAAGATGGACATATGGTGAAGTGATTTTCATCTTCGATTTGGTCACCAGTCACAAAGATGGTGAATTCTTTTTCTTTCTTTTTTACTGGTGTTTTTGGCATGGTTTTACTATGGTTACTTTTTGAAATCGACAAAGTGGTTCACGGAGTAAGTAATTTTTTACCGCTTTTTATGGGTCTTAAGATTTTTTTTTTATTAATCTTAGTTATTTTTATTGCGATATGAATTATGTAATCGATATGCAATTTTGTTTGCTCAGCATATAACACTGAACCATTTACCAAATTACATTTTATGTGAGTGTGTGACTTTTAC